AGAACGCGGTAGGGGCCATTCTATCCCAGAGAAAAGGTGCCAAGGAACTGATGCACCCAGTGGCCTTCTTCTCAAGGAAACTGACGCCGGCAGAGAGAAACTATGACATCGGAAACCGGGAACTCCTGGCTATTAAAACAGCCCTGGAGGAGTGGAGGTATCTGCTGGAAGGCGCAACACATCCAATCCTGATTTTCACGGACCATAAAAATCTGGAATACTTGAGGACCGCCAAACGTCTGAGACCACGCCAAGCAAGATGGGCACTATTCTTCTCCAGATTCGTGTTCCACATCACGTACAGACCCGGGTCCAAGAATACAAAGCCCGACGCTCTATCACGTATGTTTGAGAACCCAGAAGGAATCTCCAAACCCGACACTTTTCTGTCCACGGGAAACTTTCTCGCCCTCCAAACAGAACTATGCTCTAGACTACAGACTGCATCCATGGGAATGCCAAGCCCACCCGGGGTATCTCTACAGAGCAAGGAGGGTCTCTTCTGGAAAAAAGGGCAAATTGTGGTACCTGAGGAGGTCCGAACCCTAGTTCTGGGGCACTGTCACGATCACCCTTTGGCAGGCCATTTTGGAACTGCAAAAACCTTGGAACTACTCCAGCGGACATTTTGGTGGCCAAACATGGGAAGAGATTGTGAACGTTACGTAAAGACCTTTATTGTGGAGCTCCCACCATCCCAAGGCCATTCAGCGATTTTTGTAATCATTGATCGTTTATCAAAAATGGCCCATTTTTTGCCACTAAAGAGTACGCCTTCAGCTATGGAAACAGCGCAGAACTTCGTAAAAGAAGTAGTTAAGCTTCATGGGATTCCAGAAGACATCATCTCGGACCGGGGGGTCCAATTTACCTCAAGAGTCTGGAGAGCATTATGTGAAGTCCAGGGGATCAAGCTGTCCCTTTCATCGGCCTACCACCCACAGACGAATGGGCAGACAGAAAGGACAAACCAGACGCTGGAGCAGTACTTGAGGTGCTACACGTCTTTTCTTCAAGACGACTGGCTGGCACTCTTGTCATTGGCGGAGTTCGTGTATAATAACACGAATCATTCTGCTACGGGGCAATCCCCATTCTTCGCCAATTATGGGTTTCACCCCACGTTTTTACCTGACCTGATTCCGGAAAGCCCGGTTCCAGCTACACAGAATATGCTGGATTTTTTCTCAGCCAATAACAAGGTACTTCAAGAAGCCATTATGAAGGCCCAGGAGGACAGTAAGAGGGCCTTCGACAGGAAGAGAAAAGGGGAGCTAAGCTTGCAACCAGGGGATCAGGTCTGGTTAGCCACTACCAATTTGAGGTTGTCTTGTCCTTCGAAAAAGCTGGGGCCGAAATTCATGGGCCCATTCCGAGTGAAACGGAGAATCAATGAGGTGGCATACGAGTTGGTACTCCCAGGCACCTTCAAGATTCACCCAGTGTTTCACGTGTCGCTACTGAAGCCAGCAATGCCAGATCCCTTCCTGGACCAAAGGTCCAGGCCGCCGGAACCTATAAACATCAACGAACAGGAGGAATTCGAGGTTGAGGCAATCATTGACTGCAGGAAGAGAGGCGGCCAGACACAGTTCCTGATCAAGTGGAAGGGCTATGGTCCCGAAGAGAACTCATGGGAACCGGCCCAAAATGTTCATGCCCCTAGACTGGTCCGGGAGTTCTATCGTAGCCACCCATGGGGGAAAGATCAGTTGGGCACCCGGAGGATGCCTGTAGGGGGGGGGGCAATGTCAGGGATCGTGGCTACGAATGGCTCTGCGCATGCGCAGAGCGCCGATCCATTCTAGCCGGCGGACACTAGGACCTGGACGGCGGCCGCCGCACATGCGCACTCGCGATCGCGGCCGCTCGCCTGGCACCAATGGCAGGGCGCACTATTTAAACCTGCCCTGCATCTACACACATTGCCGTATGGTCTTATCCCTGTGTACCTGTATCCTGTTTGAAGATTCGTTGCTGACCTGCCTGGACCTGACCTCTGCTGACTTCTCCTGCTCTGACCCCTGGCTAAGTTTGACCTCTCTTGTGGATACCCCTACCTGATCTGAACTAATGGTACCGACCCCGGGGAGTGACCTGACTATTCTTCTGCCAGCTGCCAGGGGCCCTGCTGAACAAGCAGGCTGGGGCTTAGACGCGCTCTGGGGAATCCTGTCCTGTGGGCTGCTAGAGGTACCGCCAGGCGGTTGCTAACAATACCCGACTGAATTTACCCAACAGCCTCTCTGGTAGGCAGAGAAACACAGCTATCCCCATCCTCACTATACAGATCCTAGGACCTCACTACATTTCTGTCCCCCTTGGTGGGAGTGGAGGTGATCCCTCTATGAGGACATACAGTCCATACACACCCAGCACAAGGCCAGGGTCACACTACCAGACGGTTCTCGGGGCTGCAGTTCCTCTGAGCTCCACAAGGTGGGGATCTCACTTCTACCCAGACAGAAAGTCTCTATGGAAGACAGGAAGTGATGTCAGGGACAGACAGGAAGTGATATCAGGTACAGACAAGAAGTTCCGAGTGACAGGTGAGTCAGGAGGAAGTAGAGAGTAGACATTGCTGGAAGTGGCAGCAGAGGAGGTAATAAGATCTGATTTTCTATTTACACCCAGTAACCCCCGTCACGTCCGTCCTCTTCCTCCATAGTCACTGTGACATCTTTTATAGGGACACAAGGATCTCTACAAGGACGTCATGATGGAGAACCACCAGAAAGATCACAAGGATCTCTACAAGGATGTCAGGATGGAAGACCACCAGAAAGGACACAAGGATCTCTACAAGGACGTCATGATGGACAATCTGCCGCCCCTCACATCATCGGGTAAGAGGAGACTTTATTGGAAAGGAGAGAGCAGTACGGAGGATCCACCTAGATCCCCCATCATCTGATAAACACATAGAAACAATGGATTCAGTCAGTGTGTGTGTTTCCTACAGATGGATCCAGTCATGGGAACCCACCAGAGAGATGTCCCCGTCCTCTGTGTTCCCGGGATTCCACACAGGAAGGTCACACCATCCCTCACCATCATCAGGTAGATGGATCCAGTCATGGGAACCTACCAGAGAGATGTCCCCGTCCTCTGTATTCCCCGGATTCCACACAGGAAGGTCACTCCATCCCTCACCGTCATCAGGTAGATGGATCCAGTCATGGGAACCCACCAGAGAGATGTCCCCGTCCTCTGTATTCCCGGGATTCCACACAGGAAGGTCACTCCATCCCTCACCATCATCAGGTAGATGGATCCAGTCATGGGAACCCACCAGAGAGATGTCCCCGTCCTCTGTATTCCCGGGATTCCACACAGGAAGGTCACACCATCCCTCACCATCCTCAGGTAGATGATTGTCAATTATTGGTAGTTATGATGTATACACAGCATGTTTGTTACAATGAATGTTTTATTATATATTCAGAGTGGAATCCTCGGGGATTATAATATTGTTGTTAAAGAAGAGTATAAAGAGGAGGATGAGGAGTATGGAGTGATGGTGGAGTTTCCAGAAGGACACAAGGATATGATGGAGCCACCTAATACCAGGAACCCACCAGAGAGATGTCCCCGCCCTCTGTATTCCCGGGATTCCACACAGGAAGGTCACACCATCTTTCATCGTTACAAGGTTGGTGGGATAGAACATTTTGAACATGGACTCACAAGGATGATGTGTGGATTTTTTTGTGAGCTTATACTTTACAGATGATATTTTCTCTCCTTCTCTTGGTTTAGGGTGAAGATCTGACAGATATAAAAGTTGAGGTGAAATCAGAAGAAGAAGAGGCGTATGTGAAGGATGATCAGCAGTCTATGGAGGAGGATGGAATAATGGGGACATTTATAGAGGAGGACACTCCTACAGAGATCAGCACAGGTGGGTCTTGAATACTAAATCCATTCCTCCACCCATACTGCTCACTGATTGGTGCAGAGTAGGGCGGGGTGATATCATTTTCCTGAGCTGTATTCCTGGATTTCTCTCGGATAATCTTCCTTCTCTGTGCTGCAGACACAATTTATGTATCTAGACTGGATTTATGGAGGTTCTGGGGATCAGCTGACAGCAAAATGTTGGTTTTCACCATAAACGTTCCTTAATGTAGGCACCCGGAGTATGTACCTTGGGCCTTCTGCCCCATCCTGGGTCTAGTAAGATCTCTGACAGAACAATTCCCCTGGGGTTACTTGCTCTGTGGTCTGCTGGCTGTGCCGGGTGGAGGGATATGTCTGTATAGTCTCAGACCCAAGTCACCTGAGTGCAGTCTCAGGAGATAGGGGGCAGAGGGGTGGGACCTCTGCAGGTTGTCTCAGGTAAACATTTAACCCATGACTGGTTACTGAAAACCATTAATATGAATTCTGTCCATTATACTATAATTTATATTGCACATACTCCTGACCCTTGCACTTTATACTCTATGTTGTACATTACATACTCCTGACCCCTGCACTATATACTCTGGTGTACATTACATACTCCTGACCCCTGCACTATATACTCCATGTTGTACATTACATACTCCTGACCCCTGCGCTATATACTCCATGTTGTACATTACATACTCCTGACCCCTGCGCTATATACTCCATGTTGTACATTACATACTCCTGACCCCTGCGCTATATACTCCATGTTGTACATTACATACTCCTGACCCCTGCGCTATATACTCCATGTTGTACATTACATACTCCTGAAGCTTGCACTATATACTCTATGTTGTACATTACATACTCCTGGAGCCAATACCCCAATGATGGTGGTCTTCAGGATGGGGGAGGAGCCAATACCTCAATGATGGTGGTCTTCAGGGTCAGCATGGGGGAGGAGCCAATACCCCAATGATGGTGGTTTTCAGGATCAGTCCAGTCTTCCTCTTGGTTGTCCTCCCTCCATCCTCACTCTCTGACCTCTGGTGGGGCTCCTGTCTAGTAATCCTCTTTGTCTTTGTATTTTAGTCCATGGCCGGGAGATGAGGAAAACCTCCGAGGATTGTCTCACTTTGTCTCCAGACTGGAAAGTAGAAGATGAGGACATCACGCAGTATAGTCCAGGAGAAAACCCGGCTCCCTCCAATGTTCATCCAGCACCACCCAGTGTAGATGGACCATCGGATTCCTCGTATCCTGAGGAACCTCAGACTGTGCGGGACCGGGCCAGCCTTCCAACAGAGAAGAGGTTCTCCTGTGCTGAGTGCGGGAAATGTTTTTCAAAGAAGTTCAATCTGTACACACATCAGATCTTGCACACTGGGGAGAAGCCATTTTCCTGTACTGAGTGCGGAAAATGTTTTTCACAGAAGTCCAATCTTTCCAGACATCGGAGATTGCACACAGGGGAAAAGCTGTATTCCTGTACTGAGTGCGGGAAATGTTTTGTACAGAAATCAGATTATGTCTCGCATCAGAGCTCTCACTTGGGGGTAAAGCCTTATTCCTGTGCTGAGTGCGGAAAATGTTTTTCACACAAGTACAGTCTTAACAAACATCAGGCATCCCACAGAGGTGAGAAGCCGTATTCCTGTCTTGAGTGCGGGAAAAGTTTTTTAGAAAAGTTCAGTCTTAACACGCATCAGAGGTTTCACACTGGGGAAAAGCCGTATTCCTGTCCGGAGTGCGGGAAATGTTTTTCTCAAAAGTCAGTACTTGTCAGACATCAGAGGTCTCACGCAGGAGACAAGCCGTATTCCTGTCCTGAGTGCAGGCAATGTTTTTCACAGATGTCCAGTCTTTACAGACATCAGAGATGTCACTCGGGGGAGAAGCCGTATTCCTGTCCTGAGTGCGGGAAATGTTTTTCACAGAAGTCCAACCTTTACACACATCAGAAAGTGCACACGGGGGAGAAGTCACATCTTGACACGCATCAGAGATCCCATACGGTGGAGAAGCCACGTTCCTGCCCTGAGTGAGGGAAATGTTCCTGATTGAAGGCCTGTCTTCCTGGGGTCCCACACAGTCCTGGAGGTGTATTAGTGCCTTGAGTGCGGGAAATGTCTTCTAGATGAATGTTGCTGGACATCCCAGCTCTCATGTGGGGAAGAAGCACACCCTGATATACACCTCAGATATACTCCATGGCTGATCTTCATCATCGAAGAAAAACAGTTCACAAGGAGGTCAGAGGTCACCAAAGACTTGAATGAAGTGTAGGACCGGGTCGGCCATTGATGGCAGGAGATGAATAAAAATGGAATCAACTCCTTTCATACATTTTTGTTTTTAAATTTGTTAAAAAAGACAATTATTGACTCAAAACTGAAAATACCAAAATTGGCAATTAAATGGCAGGAAGTACCATAGAGACGAGCTCCAGCTAGGAGCCAGATTGGGTTGTATTGGCTGTCGCATTGTTGTGTTGGTGAGGGAGCCATCTAGCTGGTGGTCACTGCAATTGCACTCTGTTCAGAAACAGGAAGTGCTTTGTATTTGTTAATAAAGTTTCTCCCTCACATCAGTCAGAGCCATCTTGCCAAGCACACCCTGCGGCTCTCCTCCTTTCCCCTTCTGAGACACAGATGCATGTAAGTCTGTTTATCGTTCATTAAAGTTTTTATGATCGATCTCAGTAGTCTCCAAAATGCGGCCCTTTGCTTGCCTCTATCCGGCTCTCGGGGTACTATTCCTCCAGCTGTCACCAACAAGGAGGCAGTATTCCTCCCGCTGACACCAATGATGGGGCACTATTCCTCCCACTGACACCAATGATGGGACACTACTCCTCCCACTGACACCAATGATGGGGCACTATTCCTCCCACTGACACCAATGATGGGGCACTATTCCTCCCACTGACACTAATGATGGGACACTATTCCTCCCACTTATACCAATGACTGGCCACTATTCCTCCTTCCGCTGACTACAAGCACTTGTCTTTTTTTTTTTTTTACTCCTGACGCTGGGACATTTTCTACTCCCACTGGCCACTCCGGCCCTCCTAAAGTCTGAAGGACAGTAAACCGGCCCTTTGTTTAGAACGTTTGGAGACCCCCGATCTATCTGGATTGCAATGTTATGTATTTGCCGTGGGATTTGTAGGTAGCTGTCTGCAAAAGAAATGTGCTTATTGTCTGCATTTGAAAGAGACACGCATAAATAGCATATTGTAACCTCAGTTTATGTGATTGCATTGCAAGTTTACCGATTCACAGAAGTAAATTCGGTTTAGAAATTAAACATAAACAATGCTTCTGTTAGTTATGTTAGCTAGCCGTCAGCTTGGGATAGTTCTCCACTTTAAATCAAACATCACGGATGTAGGTAAGAGCGTGGACATTCTGCATCCAACATCATGGATCTAGGTAAGAGTGCGGACATTCTGCGTCCAACATCATGGATCTAGGTAAGAGTGCGGACATTCTGCGTCCAACATCACGGATCTAGGTAAGAGCGTGGACATTCTGCATCAAACATCACGGATCTAGGTAAGAGTGCGGACATTCTGCATCAAACATCACGGATCTAGGTAAGAGCGCGGACATTCTGCAGCAAACATCACGGATCTAGGTAAGAGCGTGGACATTCTGCATCAAACATCAGAGGCCTGGTCTCACATGTCTGGCTCCAGATATTCATTGTGTTCTAGCCAATCGTCAGATCTGCAGGCCTCAGAACAAGCACAAAGGTGGAAGCATCTCGAGCAGAGGTCTTATACGCTCAAAAAGAAGGTGACTTGAGGTAGAAAGCAGAGCTAGAACCTAGTATACATGTGCTGCAGATTCAAAGGGTGGCAGCATCAGCAGAAGCTGTAATATGTGAAACTCAGAGGAAGTCCACTCTAGGACCTTACAATTCAGTACAAAAGACAGAAATATATACAGAGCCATGCTTCAGACCAAGTGAAGACAGAGTGTGCTTCTATCACGCCTAATATAATTCCAGGTTCCTGACTTGACGAACCGACAGCCCTTTCCAGATATGACTGAACTGCTCCCCGCTCTTCACAATAACTCTGAAGCTGTCCCAGAACCAAGGGTACACGTTCAAGAAAACAAAGACGATGTTAACCTTCAGCATCCATTACGTGACCTGGGTTATCATGTATCCTTCTTCAGAAATGGCCTTTTAGGATCCTCAGGGACAACTGATCTAGCAAAGCACCTAATTCGGTGGGAATTACTGAGCACAGGGCTACTCACATTTGAAGATCACCCCAAGAACTAGACATCTTTCCAAGGCATCATCAGAGATCTTAGTCTTACGGCTAGAGAGGAGCTAGATTTGCTAACAAAGTGACTCGGACCACAGTCATCTCGATAGACCAAGTAAATTGGGTCTGTACACATTCATGATCCAACTGCTGGGGTTAGGTTAGAATGGTATGGCAGAGACTAGAGGACTGTTATGGCAGCTCTGAAGCTATTGAAATGCTCTTCTGAAGAAACTGGAAGACTTCCCTAAAGACAACCCAAGAGGACTTGGTGACACGTTGTTGGAGGTCAATGCAGCCAAGACTAAGGCCGCTTACCAGGATTGGGATACCTAGACATGGCATGTGGGATGAAACCAATAGTTGAAATGCTCCTCTACCATCTATAAGTGGATTTCTCAAGGCTCTAAGTACAAGGAGCATCATCATGTCTCCTTCTCACCATTCAGTTTCTTCACAGAGTTTACCATCAACCAAACAAAAACTAGAAACAACCCAAGCTTCATATTCTCAACGTGCAATAACCAGATGTCCACAAAAAAGAGAAGATAGGAGCAAAGCATGGCAACAGACCATCGGTGTCAGCCATTGATGCAGCTTTACGCCTTAACAACTCTAAAAAGAAGTCCATGGACCCAGACAGTTCATTGCCAGTCCATAAAAGAACCACACTCACAGTCAAAGTGTCATGGATTCAGAAGCAAGCACGTCAGTGAATGTAAAGCTCACCTGAAGGTAAATGCGATCTGCTTCAGATGTTGGGCATCTACCAAACACATTGCTAAAGACTGCAAGGTCAATCTAAGATGCAGAGAGTGCAGTAGTGACCAGCAGACCTCGGCACTGCATCCAGGACCAGCCCCTTGGGCAACAGAGACTCTGATAACCTACAAAGAGCAAATCAGGGCGGAGGATGAATCTACCCCAACTGCTGTATCCAAGTGTACGTAGGTATGTGCAGATGGGACGAGGCCCAGATCATGTTCCAAGATGTGTTTAGTGACTGTACACCCCTCGAAGGAACCTGATTGTTGGGTGAAAATGGATGCAGTGCTAGGTGATTAAGGTAATCGCTCGTTCGCCAAAGCAGAGTTCTTTAAGGTGTTCAACATTAGTGGTGAAAAATTCTCTTACACACTAAAATCATGCTCAGGTTCCAAACAGTGTGAAGGCCACCCAACTTCACTGTTTGGTGTGTTTTGATGGGAAAAGACACATACAACTTCCCGCTCTCATGGAACGCGACATGATGCCGATGGCAGGTCAGAAATACCAACCCTACATTGTTTTATTTGCGTGATGTGCCCTTTGAAATCCATGCAAGACCAAAAGAACCTGGTATACATTTTAGGGAGGGGCACCACACACTCCCCTTTGTTCACATTCACCTGTCTTCTGGGAATACATGGCTATACGGGATAGGCGGGGATGTGTGACGAGTTGTCAGGATGCCTGTGGCCACTCCACTACGAATGGACCGAGCTGTCTTGGGTTCGGTTTGATGGTGGTTTGGAGAACTTGAAGGAAGTTCAGATGCTGAACCTGAACCTCATTGTAATCAATGGGAATAGAAAAAAAAATTCCCATTTTTCTGTACTAGTAGACAGGGCATTGTAAAAAAAGAAAAAAAAAGGGGGGGTTCCCCTCCAAGTTTTTTGGGGAACTGTGGAGGGGTCTGTGTTGTTTTTTTTTTTTTTTTTTTTTTATACTTTATCTTTTTTTTGTAAATATCACTTTTGCTCTAGCACATCCTACCACAGGAATTAAAGCAGTAGAGTCCCCTCCGACATACAAAGCAGACCCCCCCCCACAAACAAAAATAAAGAGGTCTCCCGGGAAATCCATTCCATACCCTGATTCGAGCATGCAGCCTGGCTGGCTAGGAAAGGGGGAATGAGCCTGTGCCTCCACCCACACCATATAGGCCATGTTCCCTCAACATGTAGGGATGCATTACCAGGGGGGCCTTCCTGGTAAAGCACCTTGTCCTTATTAATAACAGGACATTGACCTCATCCCTTCAACCATGGCTACTTGACGAGGGAGTCTGGGGGCAGGGGACATATCAGAATTTAGAACTAGGAACCCCTAGAACCCTTTGGAGGAACCACTAGAACCCTTTGGAGGACCCCTGGCTAAGAAAGGCTGGACTAGGCAGGCATATATTTCTGTCCCCCTTGGTGGGAGTGGAGGTGACCCCTCTATGAGGATATACAGTCCATACACACCCAGCACAAGGCCGGGGTCACACTACCAGACTGTTCTCGGGGCTGCAGTTCCTCTGAGCTCCACAAGGTGGTGATCTCACTTCTACCCAGACAGGAAGTCTCTATGGTAGACAGGAAGTGATGTCCGATAAAGACAGGAGGTTCTATAAGGTAAGACGACATAGAGAGGAGACATTGCTGGAAGTGGCAGAAGAAGAGGTAATAAGATCTTATTTTCTATTTACACCCAGTAACCCCCCCATCATGTCCGTCCTCTTCCTCCATTGTCTCGTCCGTCCTCTTCCACCACTGTCATGTCCATCCTCTTCCTCCACCGTCACGTCCGTCCTCTTCCTCCATCGTTGTGCCCATCCTATTCTTCCATCCTCACGTCCGTTCTCTTCCTCCATCATCACGTCTGTCCTCTTCCTCCATTGTTGTGCCTGTCCTCTTCCTCCATCGTCGTGTCTGTCCTCTTCCTCCATCGTCATGCCCGTCCTCTTCCCCATCCCCATCATTGTGCTCATCCTCTTCCTCCATCGTCATGCCCGTCCTCTTCCTCCACAGTCGGTGAGATGGTGGACCCTCTGTGGGTTTCCATCTGATATTTGGTGAGATGGTGGACCCTCTGTGGGTTTCCATCTGATATTTGGTGAGATGGTGGACCCTCTGTGGGTTTCCATCTGATATTTGGTGAGATGGTGGACCCTCTGTGGGTTTCCATCTGATATTTGGTGAGATGGTGGACCCTCTGTGGGTTTCCATCTGATATTTGGTGAGATGGTGGACCCTCTGTGGGTTTCCATCTGATATTTGGTGAGATGATGGACCCTCTATGGATTTCCATCTGATATTTGATGAGATGGTGGACCCTCTATGGGTTTCCATCTGATATTTGGTAAGATGGTGGACCCCCTATGGGTTTCCATCTGATATTTTGTGGATGGTGGACCCCCTATGGGTTTCCATCTTATATTTTGTGGATGGTGGACCCTCTATGGGATTTCATTGGAAATTTTGTGGAAGGTTGACTCTCTATGGGTTTCCATCTGATATTTGGTGAGATGGTGGACCAGGAGCAGACTGACAACTCATGGGGCCCCCGGGCAATAGGGGATCATGGGGCCCCTATGTCCTTGCCCAAACTCAAAAAAAGCCTATGAAAAATGTACCAGGGGCATCTCATGGGGCCCCCTACTGACCCCGGGCCCTCGGGCAGTGCCTGAGTTTCCAAATGGTCAGTCCGCCCCTGTGGTGGACCCTCTATGGGTTTTTATTGGAAATTTTGCAGATGGTGGACTCTCTGTGGGTTTCCATCTGATATTTTGTGAGATGGAGGACCGTCTATGGGTTTCCATCTGATATTTTGTGGATAGTGGACCCTCTTTGGGATGGTGGACCTTCTATGGGTTTCCATCTGATATTTTGTGGCTGGTGGACCATCTATAAGTGTCCATCTGATATTTGGTGAGATGGTGGACCCTCTATAAGTTTCCCTCAGATATTTGGTGAGATGGTGGACCCTCTGATATTTGGTGAAATAGTGGACCCTCTATGGGTTTCCGTCTGATATTTTGTGAGACGGTGGACCCTCTATGATAGTTTGTGGTACTAAATGGTCACTTAGGTTTAGAGAACCAGGAAAAGCATTTTTACATACTTGATCCTCTACTCTCTGGCTGTCAGCACTCCTTTCCCCTACGCTCCAGTAGTGGACTGTCCCTCCTCCAATCCATTGAAGATCAATGGGCTCTGTATTGGCCTTGATGATGTCAAAGAACCTTCAACCAATGTAGGAGGTTGCAAGGACTAATCTTGGAAACCCAAGGAATCTGCAGGAGTGGAGGATCGGTGATGTAAAAGTAATCAAATATACCAGTCATATTGAGCTATAGGGGGATATTGTCATGAAGGCTTAGGTGGAATTGTAAATATAGATATTTATGGGGGAGGTGAATGGGGAGTCTGTGCACCTTTTTGGGGGAATTTTTGGATTATATTAGGGTGTGATGATGGTGTTTACTGTGTTCATTAATAGATTATGAAAAGGATACGGCTCTTGTGTGAACATGTTTTATTTATAATATCATGAGATGGCTTTTGTCCTCAGTTGTCTATTAACCTTTTATATCCCCACCCTAATATTGTACAACCAATACAGTCCACATAATTCTCTGCTATCCGTCTACAGAGATCACATGACCACATCTATGAGGATGGAGGAGGACCAGAGTCACATGACTGAGAGGATACTAAACCTCACCCTGGAGATCATCTACCTGCTGACCGGAGAGGTGAGGAGGATTCTGGGAGGTCACATGACATCACTCTCATCTCTATTAATAAAACACAGACCTGACCGGAGAGGTGAGGAAGATTCTGGGAGGTCACATGACATCACTCATCTCTATTAATAAAACACAGACCTGACCGGAGAGGTGAGGAGGATTCTGGGAGGTCACATGACATCACTCTGGTCTTGTCTGGCCAATAGACCATGTTCTTCTTGTAGACATGTAGATGATGTCAGATGATTGATATCGGATTCTCTTTCTCCTGATCTGTAGGATTATGTTGTAGTGAAGAAGTCTAGTGGGGAGCCAATCTCAGGAGGATGGAGCAGGACCCAGAGCCCCACCATGGTGCCTCCCCCTCGTTCTCTGATACCTGAGAGGAACAAAGAGCAGAAGATCCTGGAACTGACCACCATGATGGTCCATCTGCTGACAGGAGAGGTAAGCGGTGCCGGGAATTCTGGGACATTCTCCACTAACGGACAAGGGATGTGTCTGGATGGTGACTGTATCATTGTGTGTGTCAGGTTCCTATAAGGTGTCAGGGTGTCACTGTCTATTTCTCCATGGAGGAGTGGGAGTATTTAGAAGGACACAAGGAGCTCTACAAGGACGTCATGATGGACAATCAGCCGCCCCTCACATCACCGGGTAAGAGGAGACTTTATTGTACAGGAGAGAGCAGTACGGAGGATCCACCTAGATCCCCCACCATCTGATAAACGCATAGAAACAATGGATTCAGTCAGTGTGTGTGTTTCCTACAGATGGATCCAGTCATGGGAACCCACCAGAGAGATGTCCCCGTCCTCTGTATTCCCGGGATTCCACACACGAAGGTCACACCATCCCTCACCATCATCAGGTAGTTGGGACGGAGCATGTAGACCAAGAAAGTAACTCATGGAGAAGATCTGCAGACCCTAACAGATGTTATTTTCTCTCCTTCTCTTGGTTTAGGGGGAAGATCTGACAGATATAAAAGCTGAGGTGAAATCAGAAGAAGAAGAGGTGTATGTGAGGGATGATCAGCAGTCTATGGAGGAGGATGGAATAACGGGGACATTTATAGAGGAGGACACTCCTACAGAGATCAGCACAGGTGGGTCATGAACACTAAATCCATTCCTCCATCCATACTGCTCACTGATTGGTCCAGATGATAAATTTCTCATTGGATCTCTCTCTGTCTTTCTGGTTTGGGGGAACCAATCAGCTCCTGTCTAGTAATCCTCTTTGTCTTTGTATTTTAGTCCATGGCCGGGAGATGAGGAAAAACTCCGAGGATTGTCTCACTTTGTCTCCAGACTGGAAAGTAGAAGATGAGGACATCACACAGTATAGTCCAGGAGAAAACCCGGCTCCCTCCAATTTCCTTCCGGCACCACCCACTGTAGATGGACCATCGGATTCCTCGTATCCTGAGGAACCTCCGACTGTGTGGGACAAGGCCGGCCTTTCAACAGACAAGAGGTTCTCCTGTCCTGAGTGCGGGAAATGTTTCAATTTGAAAGGCAATCTTAATGTTCATAGAAGATCTCACACGGGTGAGAAGCCGTATTCCTGTTCTGAGTGCGGGAAATGTTTTGCACAGAAGTCCCATCTTTCTGTACATCAGAGAACTCACACAGGAGAGAAGAAATATTTCTGTTCTGAGTGCGGGAAATGTTTTTCAAGGAAGTGCACTCTTTCAGTACATCAGAGATTTCATACGGGAGAGAAGCCATATTTATGTATTGAGTGTGGAAAATGTTTTATACAGAAATCACTTCTTCTCACACATCAAAGATCTCACATGGGAGAAAAGCCGTATTCATGTCCTGAGTGCGGGAAATGCTTTCTACTAGAGTCACAACTTTTCACACATCAGAGTTCTCATACAGGACAAAACCCGGCTCCCTCCAATGTCCTTCCGGCACAACCCAATGTAGATGGACCATTGGATTCCTCGTATCCTGAGGAACCTCAGACTGTGCAGGATGGGGATGGCCTTCCAACAGAGAAGAGATTTTCCTGTGATGAGTGCGGGAAGTGTTTCAATTTTAAAGGCAATCTTAATGTGCATAAAAGATCTCACACGGGGGAGAAGCCGTACGCCTGTCCTGAGTGTGGGAAATGTTTTTCACAGAAGTCCCATCTTTCTACACATAAGAGATCTCACACAGGGGAGAAGCCGTATTCCTGTCCTAAATGCCGAAAAAGTTTTGTGCAGCAATCAAATCTTATCATACATCAAAGATGTCACACAGGGGAGAAGCCATATTCCTGTCCTGAGTGCGGAAAATGTTTTGCACAAAAATCAGTTCTTGTCACGCATCGAAGATCTCACATGGGAGAAAAGCCATATTCTTGTCCTGAGTGCGGAAAATGTTTTTCACAGAAGTCACATCTTGATGGACATCAAAGGTCTCACATGGGTGAAAAGCCTAATCTCTGCTCTGAGTGCGGGAAATGTTTTGTAAAAAAATCAGATCTTGTAATACATCTGAGGTCTCACATGGAGGAGAGTCCATTTTCCTCTCCTGAGTCCAAACAATCTTTTGCACAGAAATCAGAACTTGCTACAGGTCAAAAGGCTCTTTCTGCGGAAAAGCCGTATTCCTGTCCTGAGTGCGGGAAATGTTTTGCACAGAAGTACTATCTTTATGCGCATCAGAGATGGCACACGGGTGAGAAGCCTTTTTCCTGTTCTGAGTGCGGGAAATGTTTTGTACAGAAAGCAGATCTTGCCACACATCAGAGGAGTCACACGGGCGAGAAGCCGTATTCCTGTCCGGAGTGCGGGAAATGTTTTGTACAGAAGTGTTATCTCTCCAGCCATCAGAGAGTGCACACGGGGGAGAAGCCGTATTCCTGTGCTGAGTGCGGGAAATGTTTTTCACATAAGTCCAATCTTTATGCACATCAGAGATCTCACATGGTGGAGAAGCCGCTTTCCTGTCCTGAGTGAGGGAAATGTTCCTCACTGAAGTCCTGTCTTCCTGTACATCAGGGGTCCCACACAACCCTGGAGGTGTATTAGTGCCTTGGGTGCGGGAAATGTCTTCTAGATTAATGTTGCTGGACATCCCAGCTCTCATGTGGGGAAGAAGCACACCCAGATATACTCCATGGCTGATCTTCATCATGGAAGAAACAGTTCATAAGGAGGTCAGAGGTCACTAAAGACGTGCATGAAGTGTGGGACCGGGTTGGCCATCGATGGCAGGAGAAGAATAAAAATGGCATCCTAACCTGTCATTGTGGGGAAGAAGCACCCCCTGATATTCACCGCAGACCCACGTAGAAGAAAAATATATTTTAAAAATATTCTTCCCAAATATATTGACCTATATTTGAAATACTACAATTTTGGCCATATTCAATATATTTCAATAAATAAATATATATATATATACTGCATGCTGAAATGCATTTTTTTTTATATACCACAAAATATATAAAAAAATGTTTTAAACCAAAACACCAGCCGCTTGGGCACCACAAGACATATGAGGACCTGCCATGCAGCCACGCTGGCAACAGCACCTGAAAGGCCCACATCCGAAAAAAGTGCAGAGTTCTCCTCGCTCCTCATGTGGGATCTCTACCCCTACTATGAGGTGTTAGGTCTTCAGCCTCCACTGACAGGAGTGATGGTACAGCAATGGGTGCCACGGGTCTTGACACCCCTTCTTCTGGCAGTACACCACCTGTTGATTTCAGCAGGAAAATTTTGCTACCCTATTTGATGAAGCATAAAAAAAAAAATTCTGTCCTACCCATCCACACGTCCCGCCCATCCACACGTCCATCCCACCCATCCACACGTTCCACCCATCCAAATGTCCCACCCATGCACATGTCCCACCCATCCACACGTCCCACCCATCCACACGTCCCATCCATCCCCACGTTCCACCCATCCACACGTTCCACCCATCCAAATGTCCCACCCATCCACATGCCCCACATGTCCTATCCATCCACGTCTCATCCATCCACATGTCTCATCCTTCCAAATCCTACCCATCCACACGTTCCACCCATCCACACGTCCCATCCACACGTCCCATCCATCCACACATCCCACCCATCCACACGTCCCACCTATTCACATGTTCCATCCATCCACATGTTCCATCCATCCAAATGTCCTATCCATCCACATGTCCCACCCATTCACATGTCCCATCCATCCACATGTCCCACCCATCCACATGTTCCACACGTTCCACCCATCCACACATTCCACACGTCCCACCCATCCACATGTTCCACTCATCCATCTACATGTCCGATCCATCCACATGTCCTACGTATCCACATGTTCCACCCATCCAAATGTCCTATCCATCCACACGTCCCATCCACACGTCCCATCCATCCACACATCCTACACGTCCCACCTATTCACATGTTCCACCCATCCACATGTTCCATCCATCCACATGTCCCACCCATTCACATGTCCCATCCATCCACATGTCCCACCCATCCACATGTTCCACACGTTCCACCCATCCACACGTTCCACCCCACCCATCCACACGTCCCACCCATCCACATGTTCCACCCATCCACATGTCCCATCCATCTACATGTCCCATCCATCCACATGTCCTACGTATCCACATGTTCCACCCATCCAAATGTCCTATCCATCCACACGTCCCACCCATCCACATGTTCTACCCATCCAAATGTCCCACCCATCCACATGTTCCACCCATCCAAATGTCCTATCCATCCGCACGTCCCACCCATTCACACGTTCCACCCATTCACACGTTCCATCCATCCAAATGTCCTATCCACTCACACGTCCCACCCACACGTCCCACCCATCCAAATGTCCTACCCATCCACACATCCCACCCATCCACATGTTCCACCCACCCACACGCCCCACCCATCCACATGTTCCACCCAGGGGCGGACTGACCATTTGGAAACTTGGGCACTGCCGAGGGCCCGGGGTCAGTAGGGGGCCCCATTAGATGCCCCTGGTACCTTTTTCATAGGCTTTTTTGAGTTTGGACAAGGACACAGGGGCCCCATGATCCCCTATTGCCCGGGGGCCCCATGAGTTGTCAGTCCGCCCCTGGTTCCCCCCATCCACATGTCCCACCCACATGTTCAGCATCTAATTGCTAGCCTGACCAAATTGCTGCATTACAACTTCTGCCTTTCCATCTGGTGGACTCCGCCCCCTTCTGTGAATTTGCAGAATGTGCTGTACCACAGTAGCAGGTTTTCAGGTAAGACATTTCTTATCACGTAAGGCCACTCCAGCTCTATACCATCATGTGGAAGGCAATGTTTTGGCCTCGTTGGACAGGGTGGTCAGCAGCAAGGTCCACATTACTGCTCACACGTGGTCCAGCAGGCATGGTCAGAGACGATACATATCCTTCTCGGCACACTGGGTAACTCTGCTAGCAGCTGGGAAGGATGCAGGACAGGGTTCAGTGCTGGAGCTTGTTCCATCACCATGCCTCCAAAAACCTGGTGGTCATTCTTCCACATCAGTCTGCTCCACCCCCTCCTCTTCCTCTGCCTCTATGGTCTCTTCTGCTGAATTGTCCTCTGTACCAGCAGTGCTCCATAAGCATTCAAGTGGCTATGCGAGCAGTCAGGCTAAATGATGATCCCATGTGGTGCTTCAGCTGGTCTGTCTAGGAAACAGGAGCCACACCGGGCCAGAGATTCTGTCAGCTCTGCAGGGGCAGGCTCAGAGACGGTTGAAGCCACGGCAAATTGAGCCATGTATGGCTGTATGCGACTATGGCATCACCCTTCTGTCCACCCTCCAACAGGGACACTCGGCACATGTTCCATGCATGGCACACGCCCTGAATTTGGTGGTGCAGTGTTTCTTGAACAGGTACCCAGGCTTTCAAGATCTTTCGAGTATGTGGCCATTTCCGGCGGTCACACACGGGCCAATTTTCAGCTGGCTGACATTCAACGGGAATTCAACCTGCCCACCAACCACCTCATTTGTGACATGCCCACCAGGTGGAACTCAACTTTGGCAATGCTGCAGCGGCTGCAAACACAGCAGAGGGCCTACAATGAGTATCTGTGTGAATATGGCACAAGGACAGGCTCAGGGGAGCTTGGCTTCTTTTCGCCACACCAGTGGCTGCTGAAAAGGATGCATGCACTGTCCTGCCACCATTTGAGGAGGCCACAAGGATGGTGAGCCGTGACAATGCATGCATCAGTGACTTACCCCTCTAGTCTTCCTGCTGGAGCACACACTGTGTGGAATCATGGACAGGGCACTTGAAGAAGAGGAGTATTTCCTGTCCTCTCAAGGCCCCCTTTATGCAGAAACCATTCCTGCGGGGCCACAGAACACAGCAGGAGGAGGATTGCAGGAGCATGGAAGTAGAGGATCACATACAGCAGTCTTCAAGGGGTGGTTTTCAGTCCCCAGAACTCCAACCAGGAGTAGTACGTGGCTGGGAGGAGGTAGTTCCTGACAATGTCATCCTCAGTGACCCGGAGGACTGAGAATCTCCTGCCTTCTCAAACTGGTGCATGGGCTCCCTGATTCTGCAAAGCCTGCATAAGGGCCCGAGGATTCAAGGAGAGGGATCAATTCTGGTTGGCAACTCTTCTTGATCCACATTACAAGGGTGAAGGTGTAGAGCTCATCCAGTCTTCACAGAGGGAGCAGAGGATGAAACATCTTGAGGACACCTTGAAACAAAATTTGTGTAGCCCTTTCCAGACAATGGGAGGTTACCATTTCCTGGACAATGTGTTTTCTGAGGCTCCGTGCTGTCAAAGGAAGAGCGGTGGAGAAGGTGGCCAGCTGGCCAATGCCTTCAAACAGTTCTTTAGTCCTCTATTCCCAAGGATCTTAGGTTTAAGCACCCATCGGCAGGGTGTGCATCACATGGTGCAGGATTATCTAGGGGCAAGAGCAGACTTGGAGACCTTTCCAACTGAGGATCCACTGGGTTACTGGGTCTTGAGGATGGATCACTGGCCAGAACGTTCTCAATATGCCATCGAGCTACTGGCCTGTCCTGCATCCAGCGTGCTTTCCAAATGGACATTCAGTGCTGCTGGAGGTTTTGTGGCGGATAAAAGAGTGCATCTGTCCACAGACTCTGCTGACCAGCTGACATTTATCAACATGAATCAGTCCTGGATCAACAGCAACTATCTTGTCCCTGATGCTGATGTAACTGATTCCATTTCTCAGGGATCTGGGATCCCTTGAAGACTGCCTATGCTGCCTATCCTAGTCCTCAATCCTGATTATAGTCGCTTCCAACAATTTTTTTTGGTTTAGAGCACCACCAACACCAAAGGCCTAATTTTTTTGGCGTCTGTGTCACAGGTGCGTGTCATTTCAATTTTTTTTTTTTTTTTACCATTTCTCTATAATTATTAACAATTTTTACTTGCAGGGCCCCTGCCTGCACCCAGCAATAGTAACTGTGAGGGGTTACAGTGTTCAGGCACCACCAACTCCCAAGGCCCAATTTTTCTGCACCTGTAATTTTTAGATCGGGGTCCAATCCTGTACTCGTCAAGAATAACTCTGAAGGGTTATGGTGTGAAGGCCCCACCAACTGTTTGGGGGGGAAAAGCGTGGGGGTCCCCCCTAAATTCCTACCAGACCCTTGATCAGAGCCTGGTAGTGCAGGAAAGGGGGGGGGGGGGGCGATAGAGTGCCCACCTCCCTGGGCCTTACCAGGCCACGTGCCCTTGGCATGGAAACGGTGTCCCCATGCTGAAAGGGACAAGGGCCTCTTCCTCACAACATTATTCATTTATTTAAAGGGGTACCCTGATGCTAATGAGCCCCCCCCCCACCTGCAGACCCCCACAAACACTGGGCCAGGGTTGTGGGGAAGAGGTTCTTCTCATCAGTATGGGGACACCATCTCAATGCCGAGGGCATGTGGCATGGCAAGACCTAGGAAGGGGGGGCGTTCGTTTTGTCCC